ATAACTACTACATGTAGTATACGTGGTCCTTAATAGCAAAATGTTTCAGACCTCTGAACAATGCGTTCTATAAGATTTTCTGTTTTTTCAGGAGTGAGTGCGAGTGACAGCGAGCACCGACCGAAAATAACATTGTGTGACCCAGTGAACAAGAAGGGTCTTCTTGACGCAATGCGATTTCTAGCAGGAAAATCCATTTAGGAATACATATAGGCGATGACGTAGACTTGTTTGACGTAAGGAGAATTTTTTGGCAAAGCGTCGGGGCCGGGCTTTTTTTTCTTGCAAGATTGGAGAGAATATTGTAACGGTTCGAATTTCAAATTTTGTCCAATCAAAGTTGTGAATGTCACTCCCATGATGACGTCACGAGTTCAGGCCTGCGCATCAACTATAATTGCCGAAGGTTAGAACTAGACAGGAAAGGCTATATTAGGATGACGTAACGATAAGAGTTTTGTGGCTATCCTTTTTTGCGTGGTTAATACTTTAAGACCAATTGCTTTCACATCAAAGGTTAGCTATGAAATGAGTAGTGAGGAAATGACTCATGGTGACTAAAGGCGTTTTCATCTATCTCTAAAGCTTAACAAAGATCTAGAGAACTTTGGTATTATTTTCGAATCAAGCAATCTCCCTCAACGCAACCGTTAACAAAGCTGTGTTCATAATGCCTTTAAATCATGTATTGCGATGAAGTTTATGTGTTTCTGGATTGCACACTAGCTGCTGTGAGAAAGACAGTGACAGTGGCAACCTTAACGATGACAGGGGAATCTTAAATGGCTCATGTTGTTCCGGGATAACTATCACGGTAGATTTACAGAGCAGACACACAGTTCACTTGGTCTTACAGGGGTTTTCCCATCGTACAGTGTGAAGCCCATTGTTTTGAGTCCTCTAACACCTTTCTATGAAGGCTACACCAGAAAACTGAACACGATTACCAAACATATATTAGCATTCGAGTCTCTTTCGTCCTCTTCTCTAGTTGCGTACAGGACGAAAAGGACTCGGCAGCTGAAATAGTTCTGGTAACCAGGTTGGAAAAGTACGCAAAATTAATTTCCGTTCTCCCTTGTATATTCCAATATCGTCATCTTGAAATAAGATGTTAAGGTGCTTTGCATCAAGCAAGCATCCTGGTAAATATGAAAAGTTCCAGTTGTGACAGAAAACTATTTCTTGAGCCCTTCGGTCACTCTGTCAGTTTCTGTGTCGTCTCAAAGTGTGATAATTTTGAAGTCAGTGACTTGTACATGTTAGGTCATTCACCTCCTTGCCTTTTCCAGTCGCCAACAGCCACCAAAACAGCAACGCTTCACACTTTCATTCCTGTGATCACTAGTATTGTGCAAAAGTCGCGACGATTCGCCCCACAGGGTGCCTTTGAAAAGCCTGCACAGTTCCCATATTTTCACCATTACGTGTAGAAAAGAGCGGGACTGTAATGATAGAGTTTAACCCTAGCCGGCGACGCTAATACAAGGGTACATGTCCCGGCTACATTGTTCAACAGTGTCCTCTCCACACCTCTGAAACAAACGCTACCCCAGGCTCTATATCTCCGATCAGTTCCCAGGCCTGTTCAAAAGAGCGCTTAAACAAGTCTCATTTAGACATGCTTCATCCGCATTTATAGAAATTATCCACTTATGATGGTGCGTATGATAAGAAGCTAAACGGCGTCCATTGTAAGTGTGTTGTTCCCCAAATGCGGGGACACAATGCCGAAAACAGGACGACTTCACACGCACACCTGTCGCAAAATACCTGCCGTAAGTCGTTAAGTCGTGAGATGATGGTGATGATTATGGGTTTGTTTTTGGCCGTCCATATTTTTGGCATGATCACAGAGTGAGCGCCCGAGGTGCAGATCTAGTGATAACATAGCGGACTGTAGTTACAGGTAAAAACAACCACGTCTGAAGATAGCTCAGACTAATTTTCCTCTTCTCTCCACAGCTGCCAACAATTATGATACCAAAACCTCTAATATACATTATCAAGAACTATCGGATCAAGTGTAATGTATTCTAACAAAGCTATATCTTCTAAATCCTATTTACAACGACAAACATGCCAAAATACTGCTATTCGCCAGTATACACTTCTTCAAGTGTTAGGAAGTTGGACATCAAAGAACCAATACATTTGAACAATGTCTTACCAATTTTAGAGAAATTTTGCTCTCTATGTATTACTGAGTTTGACTCTTATACAATACTGTACCCTGGAAGTATGGTCGCAAAGCTTGGCAATAAGTTAACTATGCCTGCTGTTGTTACTTGGTTGTTGAAAAACTCCGATGACAATCGAAAACTTCTAAAAATAGTTTGTTGTGATGTTGTTGTTTGTAGTTGGACGCAGGCGTTTGGTCACTGGCGCGAGGAGGGCATTTACCGTTTGGTTCGGGCAACAGTTTTAGAGTACAGGTCCCAAAACACCCCACAGGCATTCTCCACGAATTCCTAGTATTGTCTTGTCGTTTTCTGTGTGTGTACATGTGTACTTGGTTCACGTTTCACACACAAAGCTAGTAGAACAAACCCTCTGGGCAAGTCATTGAACAATTCAGATTAAAAACTATGACATCTCGATTTTTCTCGTGTTTGCGAAGATTTCGATAAAGTCGTCCCGTAAAGAATTTTGTTTTCTGTCCCATGATAACCATACCTGGG